ATGAGACCAGCACATCGCTGCTGTAAAAGCACAAGCTCTAGCAAGCAGAAACTGGAGTGGGGCAGGAGTCCAGCAAGGCAAGACATGCTGTGAGGAAGAACAGCAAGGCAGCACCTCCAGTGGCAAGTGGCAGAGGTTTTACACAGTGGACTGACAGCAGCGAAGAGCAGGGAGCAAACCCAGCTCCGCCGAGTGGGAAAGCCCTCTGCTCGCACACTGACCTTGTGCCTAACAAGATGGAAAGTAACGCTGATTCCCCTACTTAAAGGGCTTCTATAGCAAGGTCAGCAGTTTAAATTAACATTGAACATGCGCTCGGTGATCTCCAACATCCATGTGCACATTGTAAACATGGGCATTTCCCAAAGCCTGTTGGTCTGGAGAGCCAGGAATGAACACATTTGTTTTACCACAGGAGTGGGCTCGTGGCATGAAGAATAAACTCATTTTACTGGGGAAACTGAAATGCAGCAGCATTGAACCTCTATCACGTTCTTTTCTAGAGATGCTGCTCTAGAGAATTGCGCTACGTGGCCAGGTGCGTCGAGCCTGCCGTGTGGACAGAGATGCTCTGACAGCAACCTTTAGAAATGCAATCACATGAAATTTTAGGAAAACTTTGCTACAGCCAATGGAGCTTTGAACACAGCAGAGAGTTTATTTAGTGTCTGTCACTATAAGGACATACTGCAAGGAACTGAAGCTCCTCGATTGTGGAAGGAATGATGTGGAGCAATATCTATCTACTGCAGCAGCACTCAGCCTGCAGGAAAACAGTACAGTGGCACACAGGTAATACTGATTTTTTCTAGCACAAGGAAATTTAGGAGCGAATATGGTTTGCTTTCGGTATGACATTACTGGTTAGAATAGAACTTGTAGGGCAGGATTTTGACTGCAAAACCACAGGGCCTGAAAATTCTGCATGGATTTTCTTTGGGCAGTTTCTTGCACGGAGATTGCTGGCAATGACCTTTGCACCAGGCAGGGAGCATTAAAAGGCTACAGCAGCTCTGGCCAAGGAGATGTCTCCTACCCTCTCAAAATAGAACAAGTACTTCTTAAGGGCCTCCCTGGCCTGTGCTTGCTGACTCTGGTTTACAATATCAGGATTCTCTTTGTACCGACTGCATTCGTAGTACTCGCTGCCGTGAGTCTTCCAGTCTCCCAGACACATCCAGCAGAAGTCTGCAGAAAACAGCGAAAAACCCACTGTAATGCACAGAAAAAAACTTCCAAGAATGAAAAGCTTCAGGAGACACAGCCCATCTGTTTTCAGATATTTCTGCTAAGCCAAGAAACACGCACATTTTGTATCATCTTGCATAACGGAACACAATAATGAGCCAAAACCACCAGCCTGTCTTGAAGATTTTCATTGTACAGCATCCTGTGCAACTATGGAAAGTAAATCCTGAAGTGCTGCATCAGATATCAGCAGTTTATGACACTTCAAGTTAGGAGCCACTGAACTGGGAAGAAAGTAGAGGAAAGAGAGCAGTAGCAAACCCCATGTGACAATTTCCTGATTTCAGCGCGAGTCCGTCAGTGTTCTACTGGGAAGGAAAGAAGATGGAGATTAAGTTGCTACACCAGGAATCACTTCTGTGTCACTCGTAATAAGAGACTGAAGTTCTTATTTCCAGCATTCGCCAACCTTCTCAAGTGCTGGTCACCATGGTACCTTGGCACTTGCCTGCTCACCCTTGTCACAGAGCTCCGTCAAAACATGTCCAGTGCTGCTGAGGACCCCAAAGCAAAGGAAATGAGGGAGGACAGTAATCTTTAATCATCTTCCAAATAATGTCCTCATATTATACTGTTTCCTAGTGGCACACTTAGAGGGCTGAATACAAACGGTCTCGCTCCAAGGCAACAGAAATCAATTCTGCCATCGAAAGATAAGTGCAGGAACAAGCTGTCATTTTGTAGGACCGCACAACGGGCCAAAGACACTCAGGATGCTAATTGTTCTGGGGTGGACTGAGAAGTCCAACAGATGATGTTATGCAGAATGAGTTACAGCTCCTGCAGTTTCATCTGGGTTGAAGCTCATTATTTCTACCACTAAGCAGAAGGACTTAAGCTGATCTGAGTAAATGGCTCAGTTCAGGCAGTATTTTCAGCTGATGACAAATATAATTACATGGAAAGCATTTAATACTCTCCTCTGAGATGGATTCCGCTGTTAATATTATGGTAGAGATGGAGACTTCTCTATACAATGGACATGTCAGGGAGAGCGAGCTAAACGAGCACCCAGAACCCAGCTGAGATCACAGCCAGTAGGGGAAAAAACCATAAAGCTATCACACAGAAGTCTGTAATTAATATCCTGTTCACCTTTAACTAGGGTGAAAAAATATTTCAGTCTATGTTCACAATTTGTCTTTGTATCTTAGAAAAAAAAAAAAAAGACATCACCACTAACAAACACTGCAGAGAAAACACTTTCCAAATCCTACTCACCATGCTTGCATTTGGAGCATTGCTGAAAAAGAAGAGACAGGAGGCACTGGTTAGCGGAAAGTGGGGAAGAAATTTCTGCTTAGAACAAGGAAGGTCTGACGTGTTGAGGGAATTGCTCACCATGTGATTGCAGCCTCCGTTCTTCTCAATACAGATATTGCACTTGGGACACTGGGGAAACAGAAGCATTTGTTAGATCCAGCTCTGTCTCTAGCAGCCTTCTAGAGAACGACAACACTTGTGCGATTATTCCCCTCCTGTTTGGTTTTTTTTGTAAATATGCATGAGAATATTAACATACACAGACCCTGCCTCCCACCAATTCCTGACAGCTCCATTTAAGAAGGAGGCAGAAAGGCAAAACCAGGGAAGTTTCGCTGCACCACTTGCTTGCTCAAGAAAACAGATTTGCTGTTGTTACTCCCTGTAAAACCGAAGGTATCACTGAGTTACCATTCAGCAGTTGCTCAGGCATAGGGACATAATTAGTTCACATATGACAGTAGCTTCCACTGCTACTTAGACTACAAGAAAATCAGCACCATAACCTGCCTGCAGCAGCCACCAACAGATGAAAGCTTCGTCGCTTCACTGATGCCCTGGAGTGTTAGGTCCAGTTACAGTTTTTGGGTTGCACAGGCATACAAAGGAGGAAAGGAGTTTTGCCGCTTTTTACAAATTTCAATGGCAAGCAAAATGTATGCCAGGACAACGCTCAACAGAACAGAATCTTATTTCTACAAAAGAGCACAGCAGAAACAACGCCATCGCATGGTGACACCTTCTCCAGAGAAAGAAGGGAATTTAGGTTTGCCTAAGGACCACTTTCCTAACACACCTGAAGCTTGCGGCTGATCAGCACTGCCAGAACTGTCATTGGCTACGGGAGAACAAATGCCAGCTAAGGATTGTTTTGAAGTCCAGCTACAAAAATCTCCAAAAACCATTCAAAGTTCCAACCTACAGACAGCTAACCTAGAGGATAAAGGTAGAACATCTGTAACTTTTAAAGACAATTCTACAGGCAGACTAGAGTGCACAGCATGGACATACCATTTTTTTTTTCTTGAGTCTAAATCTACCAGAGGTACTTCAATGTCTAACTACCAGACTTCATCCACCCCATTTTGCTGCCTCTGACAAACCAAGGCTTAATCTCCCTCACCTTCCAGTTCACAGCACTCCACGCAGTTGTGCAGGTTTAAACACCACCAGTGCCTTATTTGGTACTGACTCTGCACTTACTACACTCCCTCCTTCCATTTTAATTACATCTCCACTGATCATTTCAAAGTATCCCCAATTTTTTGCCCATGGGACAGCAGCATACCTGGCTGGCAAAAACATTCACACCAGGTCTGGAATAAGGACCACCAGGTCCTTCCCACACAAAGCATTCCCAAGGCATTTGGTTGTGTCATATCACAGTCCCTAGGGAGCTGTGAGAATGTGCAGCCTGTGAAAAAGCAGCACACAACACAATGTATGTACAGAACTGTCTCTTGCTTCTCAGGCAGGACTAGAGGACAAGAAGAAACATGCAGGTGCTTGTCCTTACATCTTTAGTGTGAGCACTGATGTAGTTGGCTGTTTCGGAGTCATCTGCACACTTGGTGAGCCATTTCCGAATGGTAGCGCAGTCTGTGGGTGCGTGGTACATCTGCCGACACTTAAAGCTTTATAGAGGAAGAAACAAAAAAGACATATCAATTTCCAAGGAAGTGAATCCAGAATTGGTGTCTTCCTGATGACCAAAATCTGGGAGTCCAAGCAAGGGTAGGGGATGCAAATGTTTATTACTAGAGTGCAAAGACCAAGGCTAAACCCAAATAAACCCCACTCCCCCGTGCAGAAGCCAAAGTCAGGATGAGAGTGAACCAAGGCCTTCTGTGCCAGATCACCCATCTGAGGGCTGACACATCTCTCCCTAGAGCCTACCTATGTACGCTCTAACACGACTGCAGAGGCCTGGAGCATACCAGTGACTTTACAAGCAGCCTGACTCCAATGGTAGATATCAGGAACCTGCATTAGCAGGACCTCACCAGTCCTAGAAGAGTAAGGGCCATTTGCATGGAGATACCAGTAAGCTGGGTCTCAAAACCAGTTGTACTGCGCCTCACATTCACAGTAGTGATTCTGGAGACCCAGGAGCAGAAGACACTTCAGCAGCCCTGCAATCTATCTTTTTTCTCTTGAAATACACCTGAAGTCGAACAAGGAACGTCAGCGTTCCTACTCAGCAGAAATGTATTCCCACATGAGCCTCAAAACACACCAGACACTCTGGGATTCAACTACTTGTAATAAACTTCAAAACTCAATACTAGACGATAACAGTGAGGCCTCCACATCCATTACCAGAATCTCTACCAGTCACTGTGTCTGGTAGAACAGACACAGAACACCAGAATTTGTAACCTAGCCAAAACAGGAGAATGGTGGATTTGTAACCCCTTCATTACTCGAGCCCTGCATTCCCTGGTTGTCAGAACACCCAGCTCCCAAGATGTTTAGGGAGCGAGGGGAAGGCTAACCACCTGCAGAAGTCAGACCCCAAGTGTCCAATTACTTAAGCTAACTCAAGTTACAAACAACTCTAGCAAAGCATTTGAGATGCTTCTACGCACTGAACCTGCTGGCAAGCAAATGGAGTAGCTCTGAGGACAGCATACACTTTCCCCGTGATCTTTAACCTTCTCTGTTTCTTACCAGAAGACCTCATTGCAACGATTGCACTGCACTCGCCGGGCTTTTGGCTCTTGTACCTGTATGACCATAGGGCAATCTGCACCAGGACACAGCTGCAGCTGGTAATGGCTCTGTGAACATACCAAGGTGGTAAGATCAGCAGTGGGTGCAGGAGAGCATTATCTATTCAAGTTTAACCACTCCTATCCTCAAAAACATACAAGTCTGCTGTTTCTTGCTGAAAAAGAATGAAAACTGCCACCAAGTCTTGGCTAACAGAGCAGACAAACCTCTTCCACATTGGGAAAGGGAGTATTAGTTACTTACAGCTTCTCTAGAACACAAAATGCAAATGGAGGGTTGCAGACCAAGTAAACAACACAACCATAAGACCCCACCAGAACACTGAACGGTGTTACTCCATTTGAGCTCTTTCCCCATCCTCTCCTTATGCCCCAGAAGGTATTCAGCTGCTCTCCTGTGGTGGCTGTTCCCTCCCAAAGGGCGTCTTATTGAAGAGAAGTGACACCACTCTTTCATGCTGCTTTGCTGCTTCTTGAGCGTTCCCAGTCTGTTCCCAGTTACCAGAATATTTCCTGCACATTTAGCAATTGCTGCTTTAATTTCAAAAAAAACTGATAAAATGTTATTGAGCAAGCCTATTCAGACAGGCTGCACTAAGGTGAGGGACTTCTCTTTCAGAACCTAAAATATCTATGCAAGAGCAAGAAGGACTTTAAAACTCGGACTGAAGTTTGAAGTTCTCAGCTGTAACATTCTGAGAATTCTGCTTCAGGAGAAGAGCCAAGCACCAGCCAAGGAGTTACGGGGTGACCTTACGGCAGAATTCACTTTGGCAACCTGCTAGAGCATTTTGTCAGTGAGGCTGTCCTACAGAAGCAGCCACATCGTGTTTATTAGGGACAATTTTCCTGCACTTGCTGCAGTTCTAATCAAAGATGCAAGACACTTCAAAGAAAATTTCTGCAAGTCATGGGTGAATTGACCATGAAAACTGAAAAAACCAATACCTCCACATAGTCCCTGAAGAGGTAGCGCCTGTATTTGTCTTTCAGCTCTTCACTAGGCAGCAATGGAAACACAAAGTCTTCTGGTGTCCGAAGCAGGCAGTCCTGAGCCATGCAGGAGACCCCTGAGAAGAAAAAGAAACATTTTTGCACAGTGCAAATTATATTAAGGAGTGAATGCACAGAGAGCATTCAACACAGTTTCCTAGGTGCCATCTGTTGTTGTGGCAAGAGGGACACAACTGTGAAACAAATCTATCAGGGCTGCTGAAAAGCTGAAGCCCAACTGTCTTCACCAAAAGATGACGGAGCACATGTGCATCCAGAACCAGCAAGTGCTTCATATTCACATAGTCATATTCACAAGGTCAGCTACTTAAAGTAGAAAATTGCACGTTACTGCCATGCCAGCATCAAAGACGGGCTAGGAAAAGCCCAAAGCAACTCTGCCAACACTGGCTTCAACCCATTACAAAGGGAACAGATGTTTGCATACACAAGCACTCCAGGGGCAGTGCAATAATACATCATGAGACGCAAACTCAAAATGCAGCGGATTTGCAGCTTTTAACTTGATACAGTCATGCTCTTGAGATCACGAGAAGAGAAAAGCAGCAAATGGATCTGTCGGTTTGTTTTGTTAGGAAGGGGTAGTGCTCTCCTGGTGGTATGCCAACACTAAGAGGGATTCAGGTAAGACCACTAGTTCACGTTACGTTTGTCACAAACACTCATTCCACGCTCCATTTTCTCATCGCTGAGATGTTTTAGACCATTCAGCCAGCCACTATGAGAACGGCCAATACAGGTCCAGTACCGTACCCGCCTTGAACTCACCGACTCCAACACCATCCTTGACGAGCACCGTACAGTGCTGCTCCCAGCAGCTGCGACAGAACTGGTGCTGACAAGCCAGAGAGAGCAAGTTCTCCTTCCGGACAAACTGCATGCACACTGCGCAGTGATGGGAGGAATGTACCATTGCCTGGGAGAGAGACAAATCAGCGTTACGGTGAACACATCCCGGAGTATTCTCACCTCCTCCACAGGCGCCTGCGTTGCTCTCATTGCGACAACGGTCCAGGGTGAGCTCCAGGCCAGAACAGGTTCATAAGCAGCTGGCGTGCTGCACTGCCCCGTCAATCCTTCCCAAAAACCTCTTTAATCTCTCGGAGCACAACAGATTGACAGTCACTGCACAGTTTCTGCCTCTAATCTCTATTATACAGAACTCACCTTTAACTTTTCTGGTTACTACTCTCACCCTGTTTGAAAACTAACATAAAATTGTGTTAGTTCTTCCTCGAAATTACTGATACTCTTTGTTAGCTGGGTCAGACTCTATTGCTGTTCCACAGGCCCTGCAGTGCAGCTGCAGCTGGAAGCAGGCGTAGCAGTGCCCTTTTACTGGACAATGATTTCAGGTATGAGGAGAGGCAACTGAAGGTGCAGTGTGCAGAGTGTTTATACAGAGAAAAAAAGGAGCTCAGAGACCATCATCTCACATCTCTTATCTTCTGCCTATGCTCCGTTTGACAAAGCAGGCATCATGCCTTCAGCTGAAAAGGATTAGAGGGTTTGCTTCAAGTCAGGCATAATTCTGCTATTGCTTCACCAAACCGGTGGGAAGCAGCCGGGATCTCCCCTTGGGTAGTGCAGAACTAATCCCCAGACAACAGGCCCAGCCTTCAGCACATCTCAGCTCACCCTGGAGACCTGAAGAACTGGGTCTAGCACAGCATCATTGAAAGCAAGGCTCTGCAAAGCTGTTAGCAGGAGCTTATGTTCCCACTTCTCCTTTCACAGAGAAGTCACATAATCACTTTTCATCTACTTAAACCTTTGCTGCTCTTTGAGAAGCTCATGTGAGACGGCCGTCTGCTTCCATGCCTGGCTCTGCACCCCAGAGACGCAGAGGAGCAGCAGAGTGACACACAGCCACATGACCCACAGAGCCTGTCCCATAGCATGACCACATGGAAAAGGAAATAATGCGACTTTGTTCTAAGTGGCCTCACTGATGGACCAGAACAAAGATTCACTGAGCCTGTAACTGCGCTGATTGCCTAAAACAACCACTCAACTTCAACAGCAAGCCCACTACCTCAAACCTTTGCCAGCTCCTCTGCGCTCACCGCTGTGGCTTCTCCCTATAGACTCAGTTGCTCTACAGAGCATCTGCTCCTAAAATACCATCATTCTGCATTAGGAGATGAAGCACAGAGTGACTTGCCTTAGCACATACAAAAAGACTGTAATGAGGTGCCTACCAAAGAAAGTTCATCAAGACTTCAACTAATCTTTTAACTATAATATCTTTCTTCCCAAAATAAAATCACCATTGCAGTAGAGAGAGCTTAAGTGACAGCTGATACAGGATTGAGACAAATCTCAAAATACATGGACTAATTTGTATGTCAAATAACCTGTTGTTTTTTTCTGGACTCTAGGCAGATAATTTATTTTGAGCCCATGAAGCTCACTCCTGTCAGCTGTTTTAGCATTTTCCCTCTCTGCTAGTTACGAGTCAGCTCAGATGCCAAATCAGGCTTTCAAAACCTCCCCTCCCCCACAGCCCAAAGAGCGTTTCTCAGATGCACAATGTTATCACTCAAAATCTGACATATGGCAACGTGCTCCGGGGGTAACTGTGGATTGTACCAAGACACTTGCTGTGAATGAAACCTGTACACGTGCAACAGGAAGTTTCTATTTAAAGAGAGGAAAGAAAAAAAAGAAAAGGTATCTAAAGACCTGTGTAGCCCTGGCTGCAAAACACAAGCTGCTGGTTCAAATAGCACTACTGACTGGCTCAGCAGCAACACCACTGGAGATTTGGCTTAAGCACCCCTGAGCAGAGCAGTGCAGCAGTCACGTCAGTACCTGTGAGACAACAGCAAAGCTGCTGTTTGAACGTTAGACACCTCTTGAATGCGTTCTCATTTACAAAGTAAAACCCAGCACTGAGCTGGGGTGTTGGACCTGAGTTTGCAAAGGGTTAATGCGGGACAGACTATGCCATTAGTAACTCAATCTTCCACTGAGGTGCGTCAGAGGTGTCTGCCAAGGGAACAGACCAAAATACTCAGCATACTTACATGTTTGGATGAGGTGGGCTGAACTCGTGCTTCTACTAGCAATTGGGCAGCATTAGACTTGTGTCTGAAAAAGCAATTGAAGAACCATCAAATCAACTCCTGAATACATTTTGCTTTGTTAAATTGATCCTCCTTGCCTGAACAGATAATGGGCTCTGTGCAAATGGTAGGGTAGGTTTCAACAGGGGAAGTGGAAATGTGTCCTCCGTGAGGCTCCTTCACGTAATGAGCCGAACTCTCAACAGCAAAACTTTATGAGTCTCTTCAGAATCAGAAAGAGGAGCAATACTCCTCCCAGTAAGGATTAACACTGATCTTGTACTCCTTGACAAATATTCCTCTACAACTCTCTCCCTCCCCTGAACAATTGGTTTTGAAGCCAAGATTTTCTATCCACACTCGTGGAGCAGTCCTAAGCCACTGTCCATCACCACACTCTCCAGTGAGGCTCCTGTCTGTCTCCCATTCCTGTAAAATCAAGCTATCCTGTTTAGGTCTCACTTTGGCTCCAGCCTGTTATCTAGTTAAGTATTTACTCTGTGGCAGATTATCACCCCATTGCCAAATGAAGCCATCCATCAGCAGCCTCAGAATTAAACATGTTCTGCTGTTTGTGATTTCCATTGCAGGTAAATGTTTATATCTCAATTAATTCAGAAACAGCAGCATCACTGTTGTGACCATGCTGTAAATCCTCCCTCCCCACCAGCACTTTTTAGTTGTACGAGGGAGCTTTCATTTGATAACGTCACTCTGTATCAAGACAGAATTTTGAGGACCAGATCAACTGGAGAATAACCTGCAAAGAAACAGCTTTAGAAGTAAACCCTTCCCCAAACCGCCTCTTGTTTAAATCTCAGCAGTTGACCTGCAAAATCACCCTGAGCTGCTATGTGGGAATCTCACCCTCCGCATTCCCCAGCGAAAAGCTTTCACGGGATGCATGGTAACCAACGAGCCCGTTACCAAAGATGCTGCAGCTATATCCACACATGAGATGCATTTCCCATATGTTCTCTAGATGAAGCTGCTGGCTACAGGGCCAAAACTGGCATGGCAGGATGAGTCAGACTGATGTGCTCTCTATTTTCAGACAATGTTCAGCTCCGAGCCAGTATTTTCTAGAGGGGCTGCCAGAGAGCAGCCTCCTGACACACGTCCCACGTACGTTTGGGCAGAGTCCGAACCCTCCTTTTGAAATCAGTTGGAGGACTTTGCTACAGTGACACTGACCAAGCAATAAAGGGGCTGCACTTCCCTCACACCATCTTCTCCCACTCTCCAAATACTCGTCAGCTTGGCAAAAACCATCATTTATTTTCAGAAGGAACAAAACCTCCCATGTGAATGTACTACTAAAGAATACATCGGCACAGGCTCAGTGCTCCTTTACGAGTTACAGCTCGTATGTTCAAACCAGAGCATATGTTATCGTTGTATTTGTTAAAATAAATAAATATAGATGTAGCACTCTCAATCTGTTATCTCAAAGTTTCAGCTAAATGCATCTGCAGCGTTCCCAGCACAACAATAATTCCTCAGACTGAAAGACATTCACCACCACTACCCTCTCCCTGTTTACAGAGTTCTTACAGGCAATGCAGCCTCAACAAAAGAGTGGTTTTGTGCTCCTTGAGCAGGTTTCAGGTTCAAAGACACCCATGGACCACCCTGAGCATTCTTGCAAAGCGAGGAAAAGCACCGAGCACAGAAGAGAGAAGACTATTTACACTTACCTTTCCAAAATCTCTGAGATTTGCCAGTGGAAACTAACTAATACTAGCTTTGCAACAGCATGTGATACCTAGATGGAAAATAAAAGGGGAAAAAAAGTCAAGTTAGGCATATTTTGACTCTACACCTCTGCTTAAGACTACGATTTCCTTGTAAGAGTAATAAATTGTACAAACTCAGTACAATATCCCAGTGATACTCAATGCCCATTAAGCTACGAGACATAATGTTCAGTGCATCTGCACTTTAACTGCTCATGGACACCCCGCATCCAGTCCTGACTGTGGTCACCACTGGGATCTGGGTCCTCGCTAAAGCAGGAACAGTGGGGAAGACAAATCCCATTTTCTGAGCTGGAGAAGCAGCGACAAGCTGCAAATACAGGCATGAGGTGACAGCAAAAGGTAGGGGGAAAACCCAGAACATTTCCCCAAGCCTTCAGTGAGGAGAACAAAGCTACACGCTGGACTGGAACAGGAAGATGAAAAGCTCCTGTGACAGGGACTTGGGTTACGTGGACTCCTGGCAAGCACGAGCACAGACGGTGCTAGCCCCAGCACCCCCACAAATACTGCAAGGCGACATTTAACGTCATGTTACAGACGTACGAGCGAACAAGATCTTATTTGCTTCTGTATTAGTTTATTTCAAAAGAAAACAGGTTGGTCCGCTGGCACAAAAAGGCTTGTACCCACCAAGACCACAGGCACCTGCTGAGCTGCTGAACTTCCCCTGCCTCTCGAGCCCTTCATGCCTTTGTCAGGAGTACAAATAAGCTCTCTTTCTACTGTACATACAGAAAACACAACTCCTCCTGTCCTACTGCAGGGAGAGCTCCTTTCTCCCCTCCCTAGAGAAGCTGTCAGTCACAATCACCAGCTGAAAAGCCAAAAGCCTTCTTGAAACCTGCTACAGGTGAATCACAGGATCCAATGTACTGGTGATACAGCCCCACCTTGGAAGTTAAAACAAGCAACAGTCGCTCTTTCTACAAAACAGACGGGCTCTGCACACCTAGGGGCAGCACATTCACTACACTCTGAAATCGAACCCACTGGAGAGGTGCAGTTTCACAACACAACACAACCGACCTACTCCTGCCACGCGATCCTGCCGTGGCCCTGCACTGGCATTTGTCAGCGGTCGGTTTAGCAAGATAAACCAGTGTAGCACCACGCAGCCGAGGGTTTTCCACCTCTATTTTCCGATTTGCCCACTCTGCTGGCCACAAGAAATCCCAGGAATAAAAAGAGTCATTTTCAATGTTCAAATCATCATTTTTCTAGAAGAACCGAAGCGTCAGCTCACACTGTGTAAATCTGGTACATCACCTTCCTCGACTTCACAGGGATGTGACCCTCTGAAAACAAAGGTGGTGCTGCCCTGCCTCCCTCCCGCCACAGAAGCCTGTGATGAGATGGAGCATGGCATGCAGGGTTGCTGCTGCCAACACACACAGTCTGCTCTGGTTTGTACGGATGAAGTGCCACCGCCAGCCTCAGATGTTGTTATCTCAAGCCTGGCAGACCCAGACAGACACCTCTGGCTTGCTTGTACAAGGAAGAGATCTGCATTTCGCTTTTTGCAAAACAAACAGGCATCAGGAATGTGGTCTCTACAGGACTGGCTTCCTGAAAATGCAAAGCACACGCTAATGAATCATTCTCTAGCAGCAATGAAATTATTTCGCAGTAGCAGTAAGGAAGAACTACCATCCTGACAAGAAAAACAAACCACCAGACTTAAATGGGAAGGTCATCTGTAACATAGGAAAATGAGCACTTTCCAGTTGGATTTTCAGAGCTTGAGGTGTAGCATCCATTGCAGCATCACGACTCCATGACCTCCACCAAGTTACTTGTTCCCCAAGGAGGAGCCGAGTACATTCAAGAATTCAGATATATAGAAAGGGAAATACAAATACTAGCACATACATTTCTGAAATCTAACAACTATCCTAACAGAATCAAATACTCTGAAGTCAAATTATTTGTCAGGCAAAATGCAGAATTAATGCTCCAGAAAGATGCCAGATTAACAGATCTGGAAGAAAAATGAAGCTCCTGTGACCATTCCTCTTGTGCTCCCACTGCAAGCACTGGCTGGACCAGCTGTAGTGCTAATTTTATTACTTCCATCATAAAAACACCCAAGAATAAAACATTTTCAATTCGTTGTCAGGTCCATGAGTCCACCTTCACAAGAGCCCTGAAGCAGAAAAGCTTTTGATAGCACCTGACTGCAGTGCAGGGGATCTTCCAAAAATGAAGTCCTAGAGTCAGCCAGTTGTAGCAACGCACCCACAGTTCACTGGGCATGGAAGCAGGAGTTTTTACACATTAAAGATAACATTCAAACTGTACGAAAGAGGGATGGGAGAGGAGCAGATAACTGCTGAGGCTGGGGCTGTGCCTGCTCAGTGGGGTCTCACCACGTCACAATCCACATCCTGCTCACCAACAGCAAGGCTGGCGACTCAGAAGGCAAACATGAATATCGTCAGGGGTCGACATTACTGGAGAGAGTCAAGAAAACAAGCATGAGAAGAAAAACAAGTGCGTAACAAAAGCCCGCTTCTCTTGATCAGCAGCGCTCCCCAGCCTCTTCAATGACCGTGCATTCACAATGAGTGAATGATTGTACCAAGTCAGCCAGTTCGTCCACAATAACACCCTCGGATAACTGAAGTATTTCTCTGTAAGCAGGAGCCAAAACATGCTAAGCACAGAAAAATACCACTGCCATCAGAAGTTGGGTCCATATGTACATAAATCGTTACCTTATAGGAGTGGAGAAGGAACCTACAGAAGCCGATACCGCTGCCTGAACTATTTGGTTAGGAGACATTGATGCTCCCTCTGCACGCACCCACGGCAGCCTCACAGCTTAGGGAATACCCCCTGGGTGCTGTTCGGGCACACTGCAATACAGCACCTCCGGGGCAGGCAGGAGGTTCACACAACGAACGATCTCCAGTTTCTAGAACATGTCAGAAAGAGCTACGATTCAGTCCCTGTCAGTCACCGGGTGCCACAGGAACCTCAGGTCACCCAGGACCAACAGTGCTTGTCTCAGACACAAAACAAATAAGAAAAGATGACTCTGATAAATTGTTAGCTTTGTTGAACTTTTGAGACCCAAAAGAAACAGCGACGTAGCCCACTGGGTGCCTTGCTGGCAGTGGAACATTTCAGTAAAATACTTTCTGTACGGTGCAGAAGGGAATGCAAGTTCTAGATGCTGCATTTCTGTTTTAGCTTTTGTCTGCAGCTGATGCATTGTGCCAATGCCTCTACATAGCTTGACTTCTCCAGAAGTCGAAATTTATTAAAGTTTAGAAGGTGAAGGCGGTCGTCATGCTAAACAAATGTCTTTCTTTCCCTCATTTTTATTTCCCCATTTTCTCACCATCAGCTTAAAGCTTTACGATCAAAGATCAGCTCAGTCCAAACCTGACCCTGGAAAATTCAGCAAAGCTGAAGAGAGAGGATCTCATCCAATCTGCAATTTCCAGCTTCACCATGAAACAGGAATTTGGTCACCCCAAAAGCCTCTTCCACTGGCTTAACTCTGACTTCCCAGTGACAGAAGGCTCCTGATTGCCAGAAACGGGCACCAAATGCTCATGTTTAGCGCTGCACTGGGAAGGATGCACAGTGCCTATGCACACAGGAAGGGTGCCACGAGGAAGCTGCTCTGCGTAAGGGAAAGACTCTATAGCAGCTGTAAAAAAAGACTGAGAAATTCATATAGTGCTGGGCAAAATCAGACTCTGAAAGTAGAACAAAGTAATGCCATCGCTTTAAGCACACATCTGTTCACTTTCTGGAAGAGAAAACAGGGGTTTTTTTAATTATTATTTCTATCCCCATTTATCTCCTGGGCTCTTTACTCTCCAAATAAGCAAAATTCGCACACTTCTGAAGTGCGAGCGAGAGGCTGGCGCTCTCCAGGACACGACGATACCAAATGGATTTGCCGAGAAGCTCCGCAGGTACATCACTGGCTGTGGAGAGCTCAAAGACAACTGCATCCCAACCCTCTTCCCAAGATAAGCTGTGTGGTTTTAGGAGCTGAAGACTCCTCTCTCCATGGCAGAAAATCTTTTTCAACCACACAACTCTGACAGTCGCTAATTCAGACAGAAACGTTTCCTAAAAGCTGAAGAAGCACCGTCTTTTGTAGAGCTTACATTCTACAGAAATTGCTCATGCATATTTATGTCGCATGCATATCTCATGAGTTCATTTCGCTTTTCTCCACGGGATGGCCTAGTTTTTGGAGGTGCGTTTCAACCCTTGCTTGTGCAGAGACACGGTATCGGGAATTTAAAACAAGAACCATCACATGATTCTCAAAAATCGAATTCAGACCGAGTTGGAGGTACTCTGACCTGGCTGGAGCGGACATTTTGCTGATGACACTGAGTTGGGAGGGAGTGTTGATCTGCCTGAGGGTAGGAAGGCTCTGCAGAGGGACCTGGACAGGCTGAATCCATGGGCTGAGGCCAATGGGATGAGCTTCAACAAGGCCAAGTGCCGGGTCCTGCACTTCAGTCACAATAACCCCATGGATGCTACAGGCTTGGGGACGAGTGGCTGGAAAGGACCTGGGGTGTTGGTGGACAGCAGGATGACCATGAACCAGCAATGTGCCCTTGAGCCAAGAAGGCCAATGGCATCCTGGGGTGTATGAGAAGGGGTGGTTGTAGGTCAAGAGAGGTTCTCCTGCCCCTCTGCTCTGCCCTGGTGAGACCGCATCTGGAATATTGTGTTCAGTTCTGGTCCCTCAGTTCAAGAAGGACAGGGAACTGCTTGAAAGAGTCCAGCAGAGCCACAAAGATGATGGAGGGAGTGGAGCATCCCCCTTATGAGGAGCAGCTGAGGGAGCTGGGGCTCTTGAGCTTGGAGCAGAGGAGACTGAGGGGAGACCTCATTCATGGGGATCAATTTGTAAAGGGCGAGTGTCAGGAGGAAGGAGCCAGGCTCTACTCAGTGATATCCAATGCCAGGACAAGGGGCAGTGGAAGCAAGCTGGAGCATAGGAGGTTCAACCTGAACATGAGGAAAA